AAAAAAACAGCCTGGCAAAAAAGAACCCAGACGGCAGGAAGCACTGCACACAGCGCACTACTAGAATCTCTACTACGAGTCAATCGGATCCAGCTGGACGTGTCGTCATAACAGGTCAGCCTGAGCAAGTTGATAATCCCTGGGGGATTACACCATTCAAAAAGGTACCTTCACCCTTTCTGCCTATAACCGTCGTTTTATTTTGGAAACAAAATTCTGTAGTACGTGATTCGTTCATTCTATTGATACTATGGGTTTCACTTATCAGGTGGTGAGCTTACCTGCAAGAATTGATCCAATTCAGACATCTGCTGTGGTTAGCCTTCATGGGCGTCTCCTTGTCCGAGTTCCTTTTGAACAGCCAAATATATAAGGAACTAAATCTTCCATCTCACTAATTTGCAACGAATTTCATCATCCTTTTGAATGGATCACCGGTAAAAAAAAAAAGTCAGTTAACTCAGAAGTTTCTTTAACTTTATGAATGTGATTTATATTATTACTCCTTACCTTTGTATTGTTTGCATTAGTGATTAGGGTTTAGTGGCTTAATCTTATTACCCATAAAATTATGGAGGCTTTTCGGCTTTGGCCGCCCCATTAGCTTTTGTATTTGTCTGTAAGTTGTAACTGGTAATTGGGCACACTTTACGTGTTTTCTCGTTCTACCAACCTTTTTTTGTCGAAATTGATGGATTTAATTTTTCTTTAATATATCCTTTAAAAATGTGATGTAATTTCCTCAAAATTTCAAAACCTTTTTTTGTATAGAATTCCTTAGTAAGTGTTGAACATATGTAGTTGGGGTAAGGAAATGCTGGTTTGATTGATAATGTGCAAACTTCTATTTTTATTCAAGTTGAGTTAAAATTCATTTGGAACTCAATCTTCGAATATCGTGGATTTGCATACGACTATTTTTCATTTCAGATTATGGTTGTTCCAATTTCCGACTTTCGCCGATTTTCTTTGAACGGGATTGAGCTACATATTAAAAAATTTGAACTCTAGTTTTAGATTACATTCACAATATTAATCTTATTAAGTATTTTACATTATAGGTGATTAAAATTTTAAAATTCCGAATTTCATTTAGTTTGGTGTATGTAAACAATAATACAAAAGAGAGAAATTGAGAATAAATGAACACAATATAAATAAAATCATATTTAAAGCAATTTTAAATATTTTCTGAAAATTTCAGAATGGAATTGGATTTCACTTCCAAAAAGGAGTTGAGAGAGAAGCATTTAAGTACATTAAACCAGAGGAAAAGACAAAGAAAAATAAAAAAAGAAATCTTGTGAATTGCAGATTGCAGAGAGGACCACCATTATTAATAAGCCCAATGCCAAAATGATGAAAAAATGGTTTTCCTTCTCAACCCCTAACCGCTAAATATCCACCCTTAATTAATTACACACTACTTTGAAAAGCGTGCCCCACGACTTTTATCCCCACCCCAATATTTCTAGATTAGCACTAATCAATCTCATCTATATTAGGATTACTCATTCTCACGTGCGAAATATCAATAGATACACACCTCACGTGAGTTTAAAAAAAAAAAAAACAATTATTATTGTTTTCAAGCATGAATATAAAATCAAAACATTACATTCTCAGGTACAATCAACATATTCCTGTTTCTGGTAATATAAACACTACAAAATCTAAGTCTTATTATGGCATAAAGATGTAATTTTAGATATTCTTATGTAGGACCTCAGGCGCTACCAGTTGTCCTAAAATCAATTGGTGTTAGGAATGACGCAAACTCTAGCCTTAAAGTGCATTCAACACAAACAAACACCCACGGCATTCGATTGTGGGCCGCCCATACCCGGGCCTCCACCACGTGGACAATTGCTGTCAAATCCAGGCTAACATCTTAAATTAATACATAATAGGTTAATTGGATTTTTAATCTATTTATTAATGTTCCCAAAATTATATATAAGTAAACAATTAATAATAAATAATCATGTTTAACAAAAGCTGCTTTGATTGATTAATTAAATTGTATCTAAGCCACCAGTCTACCAATATTACACCTTCACATTTTCCTGCATTTCTATGCTAATATAATAATAATAACAAAAGCCAAGAAATTAATTCACACAAAAATATAATGGCAAAACTGTAAATAACAGAAGGTGAGAATACTGGATTTTTTAAGGTTAACCAACAATCAAAAGGGTGGCCTGGCTGAATTTCCACCTCCCAAACAAAACAAATCTGCTGAAAACGGATAATTTCCCGAAGGCGGCGTCGTATTACCACTACCTGAGTTAAAGAGAGAGCCGCCGCCGCCGCCGTTTCCGGCGGTCTCGCTAACATGGCCGCCTCCGCCGCCGCCGGCGGTGACATCAGACGACTGGGATGCAGCTGGTTGAGGCTGAGCAGCAGCACTTGTACCTTCTTCTTCCTCTAGAGGCAAACGCTCGAACACTGCATTAGCAAACGAAGCAGCCATCAGAACCACCGCTCCGGAAGCCATTAACGGGCCCACCACACTTCCTCCGACCACCTGCCCCTGCCCACCAGATAGGAATATCGACAGCCCACCGGAGCCAGGCGGCGCCGGTGGTGGAAGCACCGTCCCCGAAAGCGACAGGATCTCGAATCGGCCGTGCAGCGTCACCACACTACCCGCCGGCGCACCCGGCTGACGGAGGGTCACATTCGCCACCGTTCCGCCGCCGCTGAGCACGCAGACGCCACGGCCCCTCTGCCTCGCGTACACGGAAACGCTCTCGACGACGTCGTTCCCGGAGGAGACTTCGAGAACGTGTGACCGGAGAGCATTGGGGCTGTCTCGGGTGACGATTATCGGAGGCTTGGATTTGTTCTTTGAACCCGGAGGGCGGCCGCGGGGTCGGCGGCCGGTGCTGGGGGTTCCGCCGGAGCTGGTGGTTGCAGCCGGGGAGTCCTTGGAATCAAGCTCCTGATCTGTAGTAGCAGGGTTGTGCTGCTGCGGCGGCGGACGCTGCAAGTGGAGGTCTGGTGTAAGAAGCTGATGAACATAGCGAGACGAAGAACCTGAGCCGTGCTGCTCGTAACCCGCCATTTTCACATCTACCCTTTCTCTCTCTCTCTCTCTCTCTCCTATCTCTTTCTCTCTCTAGAAATTATAATATTTGAAAAGGCGCTACACTATAATAAATAAATAAATAAAATCTTATAAAATTATATTTTGAAGGGCAAAGCAAGGGATTTTTGTACTGTTATCTGACAAAGATTAAGATTGATGGAATGAAGTTTCAGAGATAGAGAGAGAAAGTAGAGAGAGAGGAACAAGTATCTTGAAAAAAGCAGAGTGGAGGATTACTATTCACTATAATCCAACTACTGATTGGACACCTATCATTTCTCTAGCTAATTACACACATTCTCACACACACACATATATGTATACATATATATATATATATATATATATATATATATAAATAAATGTATATTTAAATTTCCACCTACTCTGTGTGCAAATTGTTGAATGCTTTCAAATCCAAGTTGCATAATAATAACAAAGATTCAACAAAATTGGCTTCAAATTAACTTTACCCTTTTTCCTCTTTCGGCTCTGTTCATCTCATGAACACTAGAGTAACGGATCAACACAATTATACGTCGGTACGTAGCAGTTAAGTCAAATCTTAATTAGTCTCTAATTAATTAATTAATTAATTAGTCTGTAATGTATTTAAAAGAAGCGACAGAACGCCGAAGAGCAAACTCAACTTTTAATGTAAAATTAAAGCTGAATGTGTGTGTAGAATATCAATGACACGTGTGATAGTTTTGTATCTTTATTTTGATTACTTTAATTCATTTTACTTATTTTAAAACAGATAAATAATCCCTGACCAAGAACATATAAAATAGTAGTACCAAATTACAAAAACAAAATAAAAAAAAAATATTAAATATCATATTCTTCTACATGTGCATAAAAGAGATAGATAAATAAATAAATAAATAAAACATTGCTGGAATATTAATATGGAGTGGTATTCAATATTCATACATACACACACCCACTTGAGGGTTGGATAAAAGGTCAAAGGTCAAAGTGACAGGCTGGCAAAAAAAAGAACCACGTGGAGGGTGTCGGGACATCGGAACTTGGTCAACATTTAATACCTATCATCTTCCATAACATCATTAGTCAGCTACCCCCATTAAATATAATTAAGCAAATTACTCATCCCCCAATTCGTTAATTAATCCATTCTACAAAAATTCAAAAACACCTGTCCAATTTTATTCCGATTTTAAAAAAACAAATAATTAAATTTCAATTTTATTCCGATTTAACAGAAATGAATAAAAATGGAAAATAGAGAAAGGGTGGAGGGGTAGACAAGGGCGAATGTCCGGCCAATAAAGGGAGTTGGTGTGGGTGAAAGTGGGAGCACATTTCCGGATCTACCCCACAGCTTGTCCCCAAACACTCCCCACCCACACATTTTTTCATTAATTAAATTACAATAATCCTATTTCAAAAATATTCACAACCCCATATTTTAAAATTAATTATTGGATCAATCATAAAACAATTTTCACATTTAATTTCCAATAATAACCAAGTCAAAATCCAATTTTATTTTTCTGTTTTTGGGGTGTTGTTTGTGGTGGTAGGGTAAGTTATTCAAAGCCCAAATCATGCCAGTCAGATGGCATTGGGTGAAAGTAGGTCATAACGGATCCAAATCAAACTTTTTTATTATTATTATTTATTTTATTTTAATTTTTTTTGCTAATTATGCACTTTTTTATTATTATTATTATTATTATTATTATTATTATTATTATTATTATTATTATTATTATTATTATTATTATTAAGTCCATCATATAATATTCTAAAAAAAAACCATTCAAAATGTTCATTTTCAGTGCGTGTTGTTCCAATCTTGATTAGACCACACCCTCTTTACTTTGTCTATTCATGAATTATTGTCATATTAATCTTTGGACGATTCAATAATTATTGTCACACCCAAACAAGTCAAATATGTTTACTAGGTAAGATGTACTCTCGTATGCTAATCCAAAACAGTGTAAACTGCACTGAACAAACTATGTGCGACCAGCTGAATCTAAAACGTATCGGCAACGAAATCAAATTTGTAACCGTTAGAACCCGAGTCATTACTAATGGTGATTAGTTGATTGTTGAGTTAGCTTTTCTTGTTGACACTGCATAATTATTTTATTTTTATTTTTAAAACTTTTATTATTTATTTTGAAAAGCAGAAAGAGTTAGAATAAGAAAAGGAGAGACGTAGTGCATATAAATTGAGGGACAGAAGTGAAGGGGTATGGGCCCAACTCTAACCATTACTAAAACAGGAAGGTTCAAGGAACCAACATAAAGCATTTTTTCTTACCCAATTGGAATTTAATCAAGGGCCCAACCCACCCAACCTCATCTTAATTAATTGTGCATCCAAATATAGATTACTACCTTTATTTATTTATTTTCGATTTTTTTTTTTATTGTCTATTCTAATTATTATTTTAAGTTTGTTTACCTATTACAAGACCAACCAATTGGTTAAATAAATTGATGGGTGTGGTGATAGGGTAATAGGGTTTCTAGATGCTACAATTGTTTGATTAGCGGTGATTATTTAGCAACGCTTTACTGTTGAATTTTGGATATAAATTAAATTAATCAAGAATTCAGCTAATTAACCTGCTCCCCGCTTGAGGAGGTCCAATCCAAACCGGCCAAATAACACAAAGCCCATTTGGTGACTCGAGATCTTGAACGTATATGTTAATATCTGTCATCTGAATCGCTCATTCGAGGTATTTCAATTCTGCCTTCTTTTCAACCATGAAATTTGATCTTCTCTCTCCCCTTTATGCGTACCGCCGCCGCATTGAATTCTCATCGGCATGTTGCCTACACATCCATTAGACTATGATGGGTTGTACTAGTTATGCTCTCTCTCTCTCTCTCTACTTTTGATACAATCTTAGTTTTTCATCTATATAGTAAACCATTAAGAAAGAGAGTAAAAATCGAAACAATCTTACTTTTCAATCTTACTACTTACGCCTTTTGTATTGTTTGTCTTGATCGAGTTCAAACAGGTGCCCAACGTCTTCAAGCGCCATCAGCTGTCTTAATTAAAAATAATATCTTGAATGTTAATTAAATTGCTAATCACTTTCTAATAATAGTGCAGAACCTTTAAATTAAAGGGCAAAAAAGATAATTCGCCATACATAAATCCTTTCTTAAGCACAAATGATCAGCTTTTGATTATTCGACCAACCTTTAACCCCACGTTAGTTATTGTCTTAATCATGATTTCTGCATGATACGTACCACTATCTTTGTTTTTTTTTTTTTTGCTTCCTCAAACACCGTAGTTGAAATGGGTGAACCTACATGTTTTAGCATGAAATTTTTTTATGGTGGAACAATGAGGCATGAACCAAAATTACAGGTTTATAATTGTATTATTTTTTTTAATTTCAATATCTCAATTTATATAATATATAAAATTTCAATTATGCAAGTTATTTGTTCAAAATTGCAGTTTAGAAGACCTCAGAAGAAAATGACAGTAACAGGCAGAAGAAACATAATTGGATCCTTTAAGGTATTTAAATTAATATTTTCATAATTATGTTTTTTTAATAAATATTTATATTAATTTATATTTTTTTTATTAATTACAGCCAAGTCAATCTTCTCCAACAATCCAGGCTCCAATGATTGTAAAGGGAGGTGTTAATTTCATAACACTATCCAATTTAGCATCATCAGTGACCAATCAACTGAAGGGAAACTCAGGCTCTGAAATTGGTGCAAGTTCTTCTAAGTCAGCCTCTGCATCCATCACAAATTCCAAGGCATCTTCCAAGTCAGTAGTTGCTTCCAAGCCATCTTCCAAGTCAGTAGTTGCTTCCAAGTCAGCCTCCAAGATGAAGAAGTGATCAAGTTTGAACAAGATTGTACTTTTGTTATTTTGTTTGTTTGATGTTTGAATGTTGAATATTTGGTTGTTTAATGTTTGATGGTTTGTTAGGATTTGAACACAGTTTGATGGTTTGTTGATTTGTTTGGATTTGAACACAGTTTGATGGTTTGTTGATTTGTTTGGATTTGAACACAGTTTGATGGTTTGTTGATTTGTTTGGATTTGAACACAGTTTGATGGTTTGTTGGTTTGTTTGAGATGTTTGATTTGTTTGAATTTGAACACAGTTGGTTTGTATGAGATGTTTGATGACTCTTTTAAGTTATTGAATGTTTGAAAGCTTAATTATGTATGAGATGTTTGATGGCTCTTTTAAGTTATTGAATGTTTGAAAGCTTAATTATGTATATATAAGTTCTATAATTGATCAATACATACAAGGTACAAGAATCATCAAATGACCAATACAAGAATCACTACCAAATTCACCAAACTCAAGAATTATTACTAAATTACCAAATTCACCATTACAAGAACTTCTAACAACTGAAAATTGATCAGTCAATTACTACTACCAAATTCACCAAATTCACCAAAATTCAAGAACTACAACCAAATTACCGAATCCACCATTACAAGAATTCCAATTCCTAACAGCTGATAATTAACCATAAACAAAACATTAGAAACAACATCCACATTCAAACAAAACATTACATATACCCCCTTTCTATGCCAATTTTCATGACATATATGGCAATGAACAGAAGTATGACCATAAAGACTCCAACTTGCAACTTCATCCTCTTATTGTACATTGCAATCAAACCCTCCAGTTTCTTGGCTCTTTTCTGAATAATCCTTCTTTCCTTTGCAAGTTCACCTTCTAGCTTGTTCAATTTTTCTTCTTTCTCTTTGTAACAAGCCACTTCACCTTCAACTTGGTTCAATATTTCTTCTTTCTCTTTGAAGCAAGCTAATTCAGCCTCTAGTTTGTTCACTCTCCTAAGCAGTCCGGGGATAATCATCTTGGATCTACCACATATTTCAGGATCCAACCACTTGAATACACCACAATAGGTTGATTTCTGTAACGAATCCCAAAACTTCAATCAAAAGAACGCATTTAACCCCATAATTTGTTCAAGCTTGAAATAACAAATCCAATATAATGTAATGAACAAATAAAAGGAAAGCATTTTACCCCATAATTTGGGCAAGCTTGGTATCTTCTCCCTGGATTGTCTGGCGTCCATGACGTAATCACTGGCAAACGAAATCCACATTTACAATTGATTGTGTAAAATGTTGAATGAGCATCAGAGCTCGTTGAGGATGAGCTCCGACAGCCATAATTAGATCCTTTACTCATATTTTATGCTACATCGAAAACATTGAGGTGAAATCAACACTACAAGTACACTAATTACCAAAATCGAAAATTGTTCAAATAAATAGAGGAAACTTACCAAATCGAAAATTGTTTTGCAATTGTGACGCTTTAACTACTCGGAGATTAAAAAACTTGGGAAGACGATTCTGCTATTTTGGAATTTCAACTCAATTGAAGGATTCGAAATGGGGTTTTAGGGCTTCGATTTACGGGTTAATTGGGGCATATGGAGAATTAGGGATTTTACAATAGAAATAGGGGAGGAGAATGACGTGTCGCTCCACATCACTCTTTGTCGGCCAAGTAGGCACTGGGTTTTGAACAGCTCGACATTTAACAGCCACATAGACGTCACGTGAGCCACGCGTGCAATTTCCGTCGAAGTTAGCTACCGACGTTAACGGCAGAACATAAAGTGATCAAAAGTGGCAAGTTTAAGGACATATATAGCGGATTGAAATGTTTGGGGACATAAATCATTTTAGTGGTAAAGTTTAGGGACATAAACTGTAATTTTCCCTGTAAGAGATGCATACCAAAATAATATATTATATGTAGCTATTTTTTTTATTTATAGCCCACCTATAAAAGCCCATTATTCAAGAAAAGCCCACCCATTTTCTTCAACCTATTAAACCTTGGGCCTTCATTGGATTCAAACGTTATATTGCTTGGACTTGTAATAAATTGAACCCATGAAAACTTGAAAAATCCTCAACGGTTTTTTTTAATTCTATGGTTTGCAAAGAATGGGGGTCATATTTTGTTTACGTTTATTTATAATTGTATGTTTGAATATGGTGCCACATATTTTACAACAACTATACTTGATCCCGCTCATCTTAGGTGGAACTATAAGCAGTACAAACTATTGTAGTGAGGTGAACGGACTCTCTCAGTTTTCGCAGACATTCTGTGATCATTCTCATTCCTCTGTGTTATCTTTAGTTTTGACTACATGTGTTTACCCGTGTTATTCTATTTTCAATAAGTTTTTTATTTTTTGGCCGTTGCTATTTTTAGTCATTTTTTTGAGTTGTAGCACATTGCATGAAATCCATTACGTACTCATTGTTTTTTAATCTATAAATAGGTAGGGGCTCCAACTCAACTTTCCATCCTCATTAGGTGTCGTTCTTCTTTAAACAATAGAGAAAAAATGGAATTAGGTCAATCGGACTAGCAATTTATAGGATGGGGTTCGATTTCTACTTCTAAAAAGGTTGTAATTTAATACCAAACTATTAGGGCATATTCGTCAATATACATTATACACAATTTATTAGGACAATTTGTGAGGGGGGCGCCCCCTTAAGGTGGGGTTGAACCTTATAGAAATGGAATACTCATCGTACGGATTTAAAGACAAGAGAAAAATAAAGTCCAATGAATAGAACAAGAGAAACATGTTAGTGGTCCACTTGTGAATAGACAATGCAATACTTGCATAAGCCAGTCCGTCCATTACATTTATGATTTATGTTAATTAAAAATATATCTTTTTTTTTAATCAAATGGAATATTTATTCATTATTAAAATATCCAATAATTAAATAAATAAAATTATTTTATCAACAATCGATAGGTCGAAATTGTCATACAGTGTTAGCTTGGTGTATTTTACGTCTCAATACGAAAAAAAATAAAAAAATAAAAAATAACACTAATTATCGTAATTAACTAATTATAATTCATAACACGTTGAACCAAACTGGAACAAATTGCATTAAAAGTTAAAACAAGCTGTACACAACTAATGAAATCAGACAAAAGTCGTCAGATTACAACAAACACTTTTTAAACAGACACACCACTGTGAATTAATAACATTACAATAAATAACTACAGACAAATTCCCATCACCTAAAATCACAAAAGAATAAATCAAGAAAAATTACTTCCCAAAAAAAATTAATTTAAAAAAAAAAAAAAAAAAAAAAAAAAACAACACCACCATAGCACAAAGTACAAACAATCACACGAGGAGGGCTCTACATCATGTTTCCATCTTCTACATTCAGAATTGTTAGCCACCACACATTTCATCAAACTCCACATGCACATATACATATAGCATATATATATATATATATATATATATATATATATATATATATATATATATATATATATATATATATATATATGCTTTTATAAAACTTTCCAGCACAGAGCCTCACATGCTTTGGTCCTAAAAAATCTCAAGTGCCTCTTCTCTAACCCTAGGAACAAATCTTGGTGATGTCCCTGCTCGATCGATTATATTTCATATGACTTTTTACGAGCTGACCCGCTGCAATTGCCGACATGAGAGAAAGCTCTCCCGCCAAAACCGAACCTGCGACAACAGTGGCCAATAGCTGAGAATTCGAACCCGGTGACTCTTTACTCGCACCCTTTACACCGAGCAAGTTCAAACAAGCCGATTGCGAAGCCAATTGTGTCCCACCTCCAACTGTCCCGACCTAAATAAACGGGACGCGTGAAATTAGTAATTTTATATAACTTAAATTAATAAAGAATTGTGTTAATGATTTTTTTTTTAAATTACCTCGATGGAGGGCATAGTGACGGAAACGTGGAGATCTTTGCCGTTGTTAACAGCTTCCATCATGGTTATGCAGTGAGAGCTTTCGATGTTTTGAGCTGGATCTTGACCGGTGGCTATGAAAACTGCAGACACTATATTGGCGGCGTGTGCGTTGAAGCCGCCAAGAGCTCCGGCGATGGCGGATCCGGTGAGATTCTTTAGCATGTTGAGCTCCACGAGGGCGGGTACTGTGGTTTTCAAAACCTTTGTCACTATCTCTCCTGTTATGATTGCCTCACAGACAACTGATTTTCCTCGGCCTTCGATCCAATTGACCGCTGACGGTTTCTTGTCCGAACAGAAATTTCCTGCATCAAATAATAACGATACGAGTGATTAAAACACATACGAGTGATTAAAACACGATGAAAATTCCGGGCTTGATTTAATTAATTAATTCTTGGACGATAATTGAACTAACCGGAAATGCCAATAACATCCATATCGGGGAAATCGCTTTGGAGGAAATCGAGGACGTTTTGGACGCCTTTAGAAACCATGTTCATACCCATAGCATCGCCTGTGCTGCAGCTAAATCTTACGTATAGATTCTTACCTGCAATCGCACATTGAATACCTTGGAGTCTAGCGAATCTACTCGACCTGTAAACAAAATCGTAGGATTAAAAAACGTGTCGTGTTGTCGATACTGTGTTCGATCGAGATTCGAGACCAATGAACGAATACATTAACTAATTTATAACAATTTGACAATCTATTCCAATCTGTAAATAAACTACTCCAACGAAACTAAGAACCAATCGCGATAGAGATAAATTCGATCATCGACCAGGAAACCGGTTCATACGATTATTGTTAATAGATGCAAAGATTAGCACTGCTCAATCATATCAAACTATAAGAGGATAACTAGGCTTTGCAGATTAGATAACGGAATATTCTCGAGAAGTTGATCTGTTACATTAGTCAATTGAATTCGCAGTAATTCGATAAAAAGAAGAAGAAGAAGCTTACTTGTTGAAAACGACGGATAAGGTATCGAAATTGAGACGATCCTCTAAGAAGAACTTCAACTCCGACGCCCTCTTTGCCGACGAAAACCTAACCACCGGAGCTCTGGTCATTCCATCGCGGAGGAGCACACAGGTGGCGCCTCCAGAAGCGTAGATTGCCTTACAGCCCCTGTTGGTGCTCGCCACCAAACAACCTTCAGTTGTGGCCATAGGCACCGAATATTCGCAGCCGTTCAACAACAACGGGCCCGCTATCCCAACAGGAATCTGTACATACCCTACAGGCATCTCGCAGCATTGCCCTAAAATGGAGTCGTAATCGAATCCTTCCAACGGCAATCCCTCAACGGACCTGCCGGTCTGCCGCTGCACCGCCTCACGCCGAATTTTGGCCGCCTTGAAGCAGTCGCCGAGCTTCGATTCGAGAGAATAGGACGGGATTTCGCCGGAGACGACGCGATTGACGAGTTCTTCGTCGTCCTGGGGGAGGTCCATGGGAATTGGCTTCGAAATCGCCGGAGTCGGCATGGAGCAGTGAATGTTGCGATCCTCCTCGATGATGAAACGCTGGTGCTGGGGGGAATCGTCGTCGGAATCGGATTTGGAAATGAAGGACTGGACGAAGTCGATGCCGAAGAATCCGAGGAGGTAGATGAAGGAGGAGATGAGGGTGATGATGGCGGCGAGTTCGGAGAGGGTGAGAACGTGGAGGGGGACGGAGTTGCGGATCTTGTCGCGCCACCGGTGGAGGAGGAAGTAAGCGACGGAGAAGAAGAGCGTGAAGAATACGCCGTTGGTTAGATAGAGTGGGAGGGGGAGGGCGTCGGAGGCTTTGGGGGAGGAGGAAGGCGGCGGAGGAGGAACCTGCGGGCGGAGTGATGGCTTGGGCGGCCTCCGGCGAATGTCCATATTGAGGGAAACAAAATTGAGAGGCGGAGAGAGGGAAAAATAAGGGAGGAAAATTATATACTAAAAAAAAATGAGTGTTATTGGAGGAGGCGGCGGTGGCGGAGGAGCGATGGTTTCGGAGGTCGTTTCTTTATAGTGGAGGAGAGTGGATGTGCTGGCGTTTCTTGCTTTTTGTTTTTTTCTTATTAGTCCCTTGGTTTTTTCAGTATTACACCAATGACCAAACGTTTTTTTTTCTCTCTTTTTCTTTTTTCTTTTTTTCTTTTTTTTTTTTTTTGATAAAAAGAATGTGTATTATTTAAAATTTTGAATTGTTTAAAAAATGTGTATTTGGTAAATAGTTTTTATTTTAAATGTGAGCTATTTATTACAAACATTGACTTTTTTTTTTCTTTTTTGTGTAGGACTTTTAGCAATGTTTTTACACCTAGATAGGACCGGTCGGTTGAATCTGTTAAACCGTGAATCGTTGTCTTCATCGGTCATGTTTGGCCGGTTGAACGGTAAAATTGGAACAGGACTGAAAATAAGGGGTTTTTTGTTTCCGCAAAATTGTGCCTTTTGTTACTTAAAAAAAATGAAAAAAATAACGTTGATGTACTGCCTAGTTGAAGAAAAAAAAAATCAAAATAAGAAAAAAATTAAAAGTGGAAGCATATTATTTTGGATTTAATTTGTATAATATTTGAAGTGATTGAGTGTGTTATATGTTGTGTGTTAAAGAAAGGCATGTTTAATTTACTTTTCAATTGAAGAAGAGTAATTAATAAATGTGTGTAAAAGAAAGTTTGTTTTATTTAATAAAATTTGAATATAAATAATTGTAAAATAAAATAAAAATGAAAAAAAACTTGGTTGAGTTCCGATCGGACCGGTCCAACCTTAACCCAACAACCAGTCTGGTCCAATTTTTAAAACATCGACTTTTTGCGGTAGTAGAATCACAGTTTAAAAACTTGTGGGCTCGGTTTTCAATTATTTTTGGTATATGAATTTAATTTCTCCACTTATTTGCTGTGAAATTAGCAATTTTCCTTTGTATAATGAATGCATGTTATTTGATATTTTCACAATTAATTAATTTCATTATCATAATAGCCTATTCTAATTAAAACACTGTATATGAGTTTCATCAATCAATCAATTTAATTAATTAATCGAAGTATAGTATATGTATATGAAACGCATAATGACGTGTCAATGTAGGATATACGGATCAGACCAAAGCATAAGCACGTGGGGAGTTTTGTTGTGCACGTGTTAAGGGGATCCTGGCACCAGACACGCATTTTATTAATTATTATATATTACATGGGTTTATTACTACAATTTTACAAGTGAACAAAATAAATATTATTTATTGTTTACAGCAATTCAATTATAATAATAAAAATAATGACAATAGTAATATGTATATATCTGCATGTATATATTTTCTGAAACAAACACACCTGGGATGGACCTCCAGGTTCGATTTTTTAAAGATGGATCAGATCTGTATTATTGTAAAAATATGATATGAAAATAAAATTATAAAATAACAAACAATATCTACATACTATTTGAAAATTAGTGAGTTTATGCATTAGTGATTATATTTTATTTTCTACACCTCTTAGGGCTCGTTTGGCTAAATTTATTTTAAACATCTGATCAGCTCTTAAATTTTTAATAAACTGTTTTAAGAATTGATAACTTGTTACGTCTTATTTTCAGAATGAATTTTTAAAGTGTTTAGATAATATGTCTTTAAGTTATTTTTATTTATTTTAATAACTTAAATAAAAATGTGAAGTAGATGTGATTTTAAAAAAAAATCTTATTTGCTATCCGTTTATTCTTTGAATTTTTTTATTTTTATTTTTGAAATTATCAAACACTTAAAAAAGAGCTTATAAGCTCCATTTGGCAGCTTATAAGCTCACCTAAACACCCAATTAATTTTATTTTCTTGCTTGTTATTTATATAAAAGAGTTGGCAATTATAAAACAGCTTGCTTCAAAAATGTTTGTTTAAAAAAAATAATTAGAAAATTGAAGACTAACACAGCTACCTGCCCCCACTAACCTTTGTTTAGGACAGTAACTCATCGTTAGTTGAACCCCACTAACCCTATTTAAGATAATCCCATCATCCTTAGATGTCAGTTGGAAATTAAATAAAATATTCTTTAAAATTTATAATTATTATTTGTTTTTTCAGTTGAAATTGCGATTTGTTTAAATAGAAAAATAGAGTTTATTTGCATGGAAAATTGAGTAGGAGTATTGGTTTGGACTCTGATCAATGCCAATGGTGCTTTAACAAAACCGTTAGGAATTTTATTTTTGTTATGGTCATCCCAAATATCCACTCCCAACAGTTTCCTATGTTTCCAAACAAACAAATAAATAAAAAATAAATAAATAAATGATAATTGCATTTTAAAGATGAATTAAATGTAACTTTTAAATATGAACTTAATTGGGTAAATAATCGGCAAATGGCCACATGAGTGGGTACGAAATCTAATTATTAATACTATTGTTAAACATAGTTATCACTATTTAATATTTATATCAAGTACTAATCACGACGAGGACTCTAAGTTGGAATTGTCGTGTTTCATCTTTGCACGAGTCTTAAGTATTAAAAAAAATGTGTCACGGTTTTAGGAGAATAAATATTGTTAGACCAAACCCTTACTAATGCAAAGATAATGTTGAAGTTTTAATAAGGATATAATGGGAAAAAAATATATTTACAGTGACATAATACGGATCGGAGAGAGTAGCTACGAAGTATGAATATTCAACTAAATTTTTAAACAAATAAATAATTAACAAATAAAAAAAATTATGGAATATAAAAATTTAATTTAATAAGACAATAAATGCAAATAATAACTAACAATTAGCTATCATTAACAAATAATAAATTAATTACGTAATAAAATAACTAACAATTAGCTAGCGTTAACAAATAATAAATTAATTATGTAATAAAAAATATTTAAAAAAAAAAAGAGGGAAAAAAGGAGGAGGAGAAGGTGGTGTTATGGGCCGTAGGTGGACCAGCAACCCAAACAGGCCACGATGGGCTACGGGCTGCCCTGCCTTGCCCACCTAAGAAGATACATGGAAGGAAATTAATATTGGAAGTAGTCCACATAAAGAAATTATAAAATAAAAAGAAAAAGAAAAAAAAAAGAAGAGAGAGAAAGTGTGTAAGAGGAGAGAGAGAGAGACAGCATATCGAAAAGGTCCCACTGAAAATTGGGAAAATCTGGGTGCATGATTTAATTAGTGGACCAGACACGTGTATGGGACCATGCAGATGCACCCCCAAACACCCTAGCCACATTCAAAATTAATTACACATACAAATAAATGTCTGTATGCAGATCAACGGTAAATAATTATCTGATATTTACCCCCAAAGACCCTAGCCACATTCAAAATTAATTACACATACAAATAAATGACTGTAATTATATGCAGATCAACGGTAAATAATTATCTGATATTTTTTACGAGGTGTGGCATCAAATGAACCAACCATTTTTTTATTACACTTGTCTAATTAATATAAACCAATTAATTATTTTTTATCACTTGATAGTTTTTGTATTGCAATTTGCGGTGTCTATATCCAAACGGATCCATTTGTGATGGGCTTTTTTATTAAGCCCAAGAAAACTCTAATCCTATATCAATTAGAGAATATTTATTTATAATAAAGTATTTCAAGTTGTTACTATTGTATATTTCTCAAATTGTCTACGATTTTCGAATTGTTTAAAATTAATTGAGTTTTGCAAACACGTTAAATTGCAAATTAATTACTCAAAGTTGAGTTTTAATGCCATTTACAAGCACCATAATTTATAAAAATAAGTGATTATTTCAAAATATATCCACAATCATTAACTTCTACTTTTTTAATAAGCTCTTACAAACACCATTTAAGAATTTTCATCGACACACTAAAGACCCTAACTAACTTTTGTTAGAGAGTTTCCTCAAATTGCAGAGACACAATTTGTATTGTACCTGTACTGCACTCGATAAATTTTACCGAGTTATGTAATAGCATAATTGTGTATAAATCCATAAATAATTTACATATCCACATGTATATGAGTTTAATTGTATGTAAAAAATTTTTTGAGAGTTAATTGTATGTAAATTAAATGTGAAAAAAACTACCTAATTAAAATAAAACCCAATCCAGAGTGACAAAAGAAAAGAAAAAAACAAATGCTAAAAAAAGAAAAGAAAAAAGAAACACATAGTAGAGGGTGGTGATGGTGGGAGGAAGAAAGAACATGGCCCACAAATGACAAAACTGCCCCTTCCAAGCTGTATATTTCTTCTATGTTTGGAAATCCGTAAGCACCTGTCCATATCCCCCAATTTCATTTCTTCTTTCTTTTTTCCCAATTTTATTAATTATTATTCCATCTGTTAAATCGAAAACAAACGAAGAAAATTAAAAAAGAAAAAAAAAAAGAAATTAAAAGAAAAAAAATAATGACAACGCTGTTCCAGATCATCTCTCTCCGCCACCACCACCCTCTCCCCGATCAGAATTTCAAACCCAAAACCCCCCTTTTCCCCATCTTCAATTAAGCCCTAAATTAATTTACTGTTTTCCTTTTTTTTTTTTTCTTTTTTTGGTTGATGATGATTGTGAAATTGTTCTTTTGGGGGAGTAGAAACAGGGGTTTGAAATTCCGTTGATGATTTAACCCTTTTCGGCTTTTCCCCACCACCCACCACCCACCACCCACCACCAATCATAGTCCATACGTACCCTTTCTCTGCTCTCCTGTACAGCTGATCCAGCCCCCACCCCTCTCTTTTTTGACCCGCTACTGTTGCTTCTATTCCCTTCGTTGCCCTCCTCAAAATTAGGGTTTTCGTTTCCTCCCTCTCTCTCTCTCTCTCCCTTTTTTTTTGTTTGCTGATATTTTTTTTTCTCGCCCTTCTGGTTTCTGTTTCTGTTCTCTCGATCTTCGTGTTTTCCGATCTCTTCCTCTTCGTATACCTATCTTGCAAATACAAATTCAAATTCGCCGTTTGTGTATATAATTTATATATATATCACAGTAAATAATTGAAGCAAAAAAATGAATTTTTATTCACTTTCAGCCGCAGTTAGGGTTTTTATTAGGGTTTTCTGTTAATATGGTACTGCATCTCCATTGGATCGACTTCAGTATGAACTAAATCGCCGATCCCCCTTCTGTGATTGTTTTATTTAGCCCTCTTTTTTATTATTTGGGAGTTATCTTCCCACTGCTTTCTGTTTAGTTGAATTTAGTTGAAGTGAGCGGTTATGGCTTATCAGCAGCAGCAACAACAGCAGCAAATACCTGGTCCTAGCTCAGGTTCGGGCCCCGGTGGATTCCAGTATATGAATTCTCCATTTGGAGATACCACTTTCACTAAGGTTTTCGTGGGAGGTTTGGCTTGGGAGACTCAGAGTGAGACCATGAGACGATATTTCGAGCAATTTGGGGATATTCTTGAAGCTGTGGTCATCACTGATAAGAATACTGGCCGATCTAAAGGATACGGTTTTGTGAGCTCTTAATTTCTTGATTGGAATTGTCATTTTTTGTTTGGTTTCTCGTCTTTTTTAAGCACTTATAAAGTTTGTCCTGTTGCTGATTCTGCATTCTGCATTCTGATGTTAGATAATACTTAGTAATGTTTACTTAGCAAAATAAATCAGAATTTTGCGTGCATATCTAGTGTCATGTTTATAAGTATGAATGTCAGTTGGAATTTTGTGATTTCTTGTGCCTGGAGTTAGAATGTGTGGGTTAGTTGAATGATTTGGGTACCGAAATGGTGTTTCTATGGAGTGTTTAGGTGACTTTCCGGGATCCTGAATCAGCTAGGAGAGCTTGTGCTGATCCAACTCCAATTATTGATGGGAGGCGAGCAAATTGTAATTTGGCTTCACTGGGTAGACCTCGTCCAGTGGTTCCTTTCGGTAATTTACCTTGTTCTTTCATTGTTAAATATTCTGGAGGATAGAATCTTCCACAGTCTTCTTGTCCAGTTTTGACTTCAATTTTGTTTGAATGTTTTTATGTAACTATTGTAAGTATATGATAACTCAAAAATCAATGGGATTTATGCTATTGAATTGGTGGTTTTGAAACAAACATTTTGTTATGTATTAATCAGGGTGTTCTTGAATAAGAATATTGTCAATTCCTGATTCAAATGTATGTTATTACTAGGAAAGATCTCACTAGGATCTTGCTCATTTATGTCTGTTTTTTCAGTCTGCGATATTAGCTTCTTAATGTATATTTTGGACAAGAAAACTCGTTATGTGATGATTTATAGCCTTCGTACGAAATTTAGAAACTATTTGCTGATATAGAACGAGCCCGTCCCGTAAATAATTAGACAGTGCTTGGTGGTTTGACTTCAGTAAAATTTAGATAAATTTGCCATTTATGTATATTGATTTTCTACGTTGAAACTCAAAACTGTCTTTTTATATATCATAGGACGCCTTAGGTCTCCATCACCTTACATTGGAGGCGTACAAGCTGGTAGGGGTGCTGCTTATGTTGGAAATTATGGGTACCAGCAGCAACCCGTTACTTATGGATATCAACAAGGCTTGATGTATTCTCCATATGGGTGAGCTACTTCTATCATACAACATTTATGTGGTGTTTGCTTCTTCAGATTTTTGTTATTTGTATAGTGTCTTGACATTTTTTTTGTATTGATTTTAAATTGGTTCTTGTGCATCGATATCCACACCATGGCATTTATCGTGAATCGTATCATTGTTTTACTATGTTGGGATTGGAGGAGTGTATTATAGATCTTGGTTCAGAAATCATTAGGGACTTGCATTTAAATTTAGGTTCGTCAATCACAACGTGTTATCAACGAACTAAGACTTTAAGAAAAGTTATGTTTGGAGTTTCAACCTATTTGTGATTGGACAAGATCTATCTGTTGGTCGTGTATCTTCTTTGGCATTATAGTTGTGATTCTTGATGATTCCAGTTGCCACATATGCTTGTGTTGCGAAAAGAAAGTTATTATGTTTGCCTATTTTAAGTTAAATTCAGATATCCTTCGAGGCTTGAGTGGGGCTAGCTAGGCAGCCATTATTTCCCTTAAGAAATTGTATTGTTCTCCGGCATTTATAGGATTCTGGAATAAGGGGTCATATTTGGTTTGTTGAAAGAGAATGATGCTCCGTTCTTACTTTCTCTCTGCTATGCATTTAATCAACCTCCGGAGTTATGAAATAGATTGTAGCCTGTATTGAAGATTCCATCATACAATTAAAGGCAAATGGTTTTGGTTATTTGTAAAATATTCATATTTATGACATATTCTAGATCATTTAAATGAGTTTTTTTGTCAAGTACTGTAACTATATTAATAGTTATCCACATACCGACTGTTTAACCCTTTCATTAATGCAGGTACGCTTCATACAGTCCAGAATATGCGTATTCTCAGGTTCATCATCGAGAAACTTATTACTGAATTGTTGTCACTGTGACAAATATTGACAGTTGCAGTTTTATTTGTAGGGTGTTTACAATCCATACGGAAGTCAACAATACGTTCCTATATATGGTGTGCCTGGATCACTCAATACAACAATGTATCCTTACAGTCAGTTGAGCCAGGCTGTTCCAGCAAATCATAACTACACTGCAGTGCCTGGATACGCAATGCCAGGTCATCAGATAGTGCAATTTGGTGGGCCCACTGTCAATGCAATGACAACAGCTTCCGTTCCAACTATTCCAGTTCCATATCCTACAGGTAAAGAAAAATCTTTGGTTCCTATCTCACAGCATTATTATGTATCTCTATTATATAGATATAATTAGTTGCATGTGCATTACCTTACATGCATGTCTTGGTTTGTATCAGGTGTCGCAACACATATTCCACAACAGCAACAATTTATAATGTCTGCGCATTCTTCTCAATTCATGCCTGGTAGCGGTTCTGACCAAAATGCTGGGTGAGGGTTTTAATCTAGGTAAGTTTGTTTCTTTTCTTTGACATGTTAATCTGGTATAATATTATCTTGATTGCCATTGTAGTTATTATGTTACTATATACGAATTGTCAGGTTCCGTTAGATTGCAGCAGGACTAAGAACAGCAGTACTGCCACTTGATTGGCGGGCTTCAAATCTAGCCTTGCAAATTATTCGTTTTGCATTCTAGAGGTATCTTAAATAGGTTTTATTTTTGGCTTCAACTCGGGGATTTTGAGGAGCAACATATACATATATATATCATATATGATATATATTTAGTTGATAATCGTATTTTGTTGATGACTAATGGGCAGGTCTTACAAGTGTCTTGCTCACCAGAGAAAGTCAAATGTCCGAATCGCTCCTGATGGTGGAGAGAGGAAGTGGGAAGTGCGTATTGCACATATCCTTTTATAACTCTTGCTGTACCTATAACTCTTGTTGTATTCTGCCAGCCCTTGTGGATATGACTGGTAGAGTGTCGATTGCGACTGGAATTGGTTTCCGGCTCCCAATCTGTGAAATAATGAACCCGTCGTGTAAAAAAAGAAAAAAAAACCGACCTTTTTTTCTTTTTTTGGAAATTTCGGTGGAATCAAGATATGATTCTTTTACAGTTAGTCCAGTCAGCATCTCGGGTGTGTATATACACCTTTGTAGTCGGTCTCTGTCGTTGTGTTGCATCCTTGCATTGCATTGCATTGTGTATTTAGACAAGTCAGGTCCAGCATCTTTCTTTGTGCATAACAGCATATTTTTAGGGTTTTATTTTTTTCTTCACCGCTTGTAAAAAATCGGAGATTCTTAATTTTTAAGAGCCTCGCTTCAAAATATGAATGAACGAAGCTCATTGTCACAAATCTCTCTCGTTTCTCTCTCTCTCTCTCTCTCTATTCAAATGTGCTGTTTTTCTTTATATGTTTCTTTGTGTGTATTGATGGATGATTTTATCTGATTTTTTTGTACATAAATGACTTGAAAGTATGTAGACAAGCTATGCAAAATTCCAAAATAAGAACACAATAAATATTTAATATCAATAAAGGCTAAACTAATAAAATGTTTAATATTAATTCGCCCACATTCATATTTTTATTTTATTTTTTTATATATAAAAAAGCGCAATTGTGATTTATTGATTTGTTGAAGACCCAGTAGACCAAGAATTTTGAGATTTTGCCT